GTCATCCGTCTTTGACCAGGAAGAGCTGGCTTGCGAGGTGTGTTGGGTTTGGTAGATGAAGGAACAGGAGACGACAAGATCTGTTGAGCGGGAAAGCCACGACCTTGAGAAGTGAAGCGGGACTGATTATTTTTGGGCGAGGCAGAAGACGAGGATTTGGTCTGATTACTGTAAAAAGCTAAGTGTGGAGTATGGGGAGTAAACTGGGCGTCAGGTTGAGCAGAAAACCAATTACGGCGCTGATCAAAGTTCTGAAGTTGAGAAATTAATTCAGAATACGTGGGTCGTGGAGGTTTGAGCATGGTTGTGGTGAAAGTTTCGAAGTGTGGACCGAGGCTATTCAACAAACAGTAGACTTTTTCTTGATCGGAGCAAGGCTGTCACACAGCCATTTAACACACATGAATGTGAGCAGCTATAGTGGTATTCGGATCCTTCCGAAGATATGTGAGTTGTTAATGGAGAGTAAACTCTCTTTCTTGAGAATCCCTTGCATACTCGTCTTTCAGAGCTGTCCAAACAGCATAGGCCGTGTCAAGGCCAAGAACAAGACCAAGGGACTCTTCTGTGAGCGTGCCAATTATCCAACCCCACAAAAGTCGATCAGCCTGTTGCCAGGTCTAAAATTTTTCGACTGAATCTGCAGACACTTTGTCGGCAGCAGAGGAGGATTGTGTAGGATCACTCATGGGAGGGTTTGTGAGATGTGCGATTAACGACTAACTTTCAGCGAGGCCAAGAATCTGCTCACGCCACAAAGGATAATTGGTGGATGACAACTTAAGAGTGACAAAATTACCAACATTCAAGGAGAGAGAGACAGACGACATGATGGAGCAGAACAACAGAAACGCGGAAGCAAAAGGAAGAGAAAAGAATGGCCGCAGGATGAACCTACTGATACCAAGATAAAAAACGTAAATTGTAACCCTAGATTAGAGTAATTTTGTTTCTTAAAAAGAAATTGTATTGCTTCTGTTTGTTTTCTGACTCAATGCTTCTTTGTACGAGTGGCTTTTTATTTATAGAAGAGTCTTTTTTGTACAGTAAACTACAAGGATAAGACTAACCTAGTTTACTAGATAATTTTGGTAATGATTGGAAGCAATCAATCTTTAGGATTCAAGAGATTCTAGGATTTCTTCACATCCAAACATATCTCATCATTGATGAGTGTGATCAGCCTTATAACTCCATACACCTTATTGCACCTCACACTCCGATTCGTCAATTTCGGAAGTGACTTGTCTGTTAACAAAAAGGTATGTTGGGATGAGACATATATTAATATATTATTCTGAAAAAACCATTAGAAAAAGGAAACAAACAAAGATAATATATTACTCCCTCCGTCCCATAATTATTGTCCACTTTGCCCAAAAAATTTTGTCCTAAAATTATTGTCCAATTTGACTTTTTATGGATCAAGTTACACATTTGTCCTTAGTAAAAAACATTATCCATAAAATCTTAGTGGTTAAACAATTACTTATGTAGGGGTATATCCGGTTGTTTAAGATAAAATATAGTTAAGTTTGACTAAAAATAAAATCTTTCATTTTAGTAAAACTGGACAATAATTATTGGACGGGAGGAGTAATATATTAATAATAACATATTAGTATATTAATATATTATCAATATATTATTCTGAAATTTATTAGGGATAGCATTGCGATAATTCTGTGATGTTGTATTCTAATACTTCAAATTGTATAATAAAAAAAAAACTCATTCTAAGAAACCATATACGCACAGGTAGTGCAAAATACTCTTAAATTTCACTGTCACTTTTATTTCGTAATAAAAAAGTAAAAGATTGTGAGTGAAAATTTTACAATTTCAAAATAAATTTCAACTCATGTGGTTAAGACATTCAAAACTTCAACGGAGGAACATTACGATTTCAATCAAAACAGATGTAAACATGTTGCAGTTAGCCTTCTTCCCCTAACAAAAAAGAGATTCAAGAAGATATTTTCTGTACTCTATAATTGGGACTTGTATATAATTATTAGTACGTGAAAATTTGTGGAAGACTTTTGAGCAATGTTTAGGCTTTTGTCAAACAAAAAAATAAATAAATAAATAAAAATGGTGAAATGCAAGTTCCGAAGTAACTTTCATTGACTCCAATACAATTGGAGGGATGCAACTGAAAATCAAATACACCCACATCACACATATTCGAATGTACATTGCATCTGGCCCAGTAATTTGGGTAGATTCTTTACTATTATAAAACTCGAATAATAATGATAAGTTAGATATTTGCAGATGATCTCTCCAAGTCTTACTTCCTAGCGGATCCAGAAATGAGAAAACACACATATTCAGTACTCCATATATTGAAATACTCACATTTTCGCGTCTACTTTAATCTTAATGCACTCTACCTGAATAAATTTGGTTAATTCTTTTTTTTTTTTGTTACAATAAGAGAGACTATTGCCTAAATTCGTACACTTCTAGGGTATGCCACCCCTATCACGTCGTGTTGAACAAATTTAGTTAATTCTGTCTATTTACATAATTATGTCTTATTTTATTCGACTTGTTCCTTCGATCACCTACGTAATCTTTACTTTGAACATTTGAGGGATCCATATGTTTTGGAAAGAAATTGTCTCAAGTTATATTCGTACACTTAGACAAACAATATTGCAATAATTAGTCTTAAATAAAAATGTTATTCTCCTATCTTGAAAAAATAGTTTATGTTTAGTTTTGAAATGTAAATTTTGAAACTAGTAGATTATTTGTGTGAGAGAGGAGTAACACCAATGCATAGAACAAGCCTAGACAGAGGATGAGAATACAAATGAAATTGCAATTTGTTAAATTTTAAAATCCAAGAAGGCTAGAAATTGTCTAGATGCTTTCCTTGCTAGCTACTCATATAATAATCAGGATTGAATTATCATCCACCATCATAGAGTTTACTAATAAGAATCAAAACTTCAAATTGGAAAATTTTAAAGTCAGTTGCATATTAAAATTATTACACCTTGTCCCTGAAGTAAATTCATTGTATGTGTTCATTGAAGAGATCCAGAGAAGAAATGTGAAAAAAAAAAATCAAAAAAAAAAAAGACGAGAGGAAATAGTAGAGCAAAACAGCCCAATTTGTCTCTCCATAAACAGCCCAAAAAGTTATATTCTTACAAGGGCTTTTAGCCTTTTCGTCTACGGCTCTAGTCTGCGATCCAAGAAACCAAATTTGGGTATCAATGGGCTCTTCTGATGTTTCCGTTGCTGTGGAATCAGAACCTATGTATGTGTTCCATATTCAAATTTCAAAATGTCAGCATGGTCAACTCTCAATGGCTTCACCGTTCAAAATATACCGCATTAATCAGGGTAGAGATTTTTTTTTTTTTTTTGTTACAGTAGAAGAGGGATGAAGCCTAATGTTAAATTAAAACATTCCGAGGGTATGTAACCCTTACTATATCATGCTCTAATCAGGGTTTCACTTTTGATGGTCCAACCATTGCTGTTTGCCTGGCCATTGTGCTGCTAACGAAGCTAAATAATATGCAACAAAATTAATTTCTCGAAACACATGTTTAATTTCCACAACCCAGTCACTTTTCAGTATGTCTCGAATGCCATAAACTACTCCAGCATTAGGGTCAAACAAATCTCTTGTACCTTTTATCATAGAGATTCCCGATACTAATTTATAACCAAAACAAGTTGTATTGAACAATTATTTAGACTTTCTGCCTTTTTTCATTGTAAAAAAAAAAAAAAAAGAGCTCAAGAAATCAAACAACTTTTGACAAAAGAATTACTACTAATCAGCATGCCGCTCACAATTAATCTAGCCTCTCTAGAGTGGCAAATTACTTGAGAGCGTCCGTAGAAGTAGGAGAGCAAGTGATACATAAACTCGAAACTTTTCACTGCTGGTGTTACTGTTACGTGGATATAACATAAATATATCATCTTTCCCATTTCGACAATCCAAGGTAGACTTTTGAATGGATGAAGTATACAAGTAAGTCCCTTAGGACTAATTTAGACTACCAAAATAAGTAGCCTTTATGATTATCCAAACTGGTTTTGCAATGCTGTTTGTCTCCCATATTTGGAGAATTGAACTTCACCTACGTTTGAAGTTCAAGGGTACAATTCAACTGTTAATATGCATCAGCATTACACAAAAACAGAGCACTGCATAGGTAAAGGGAAGAAGATCAAAGGGGTTGGATTTCCTAATTGATTTACCATGTATACATTCTGGAATTCGTCATGATTCGAGCATGTTTCCTAACTCTTTGTTATGTACATACATTTTCATAGTTATAACAGGATCAAATTACGCCAGGGATCAATCATCCAAGGGAAGGAGTATGGGGAAAATATCTAGAACGAAACGATAAGCTTATTGTTCCATCCATGCAATGCAAATGGAATGGTCCATCAGAAACAAACACTGCAACGGTACTGAATTGCAGCTGTCTGCTGCAGTAATCCTTTTTCCTTTCTTCCCGTAAGAAGAAAAATAAAAGAAAAACGAGTGTATGTTTCCTAAACTATATATTTATTTATTTATTTATTTTGAAAAATAAGGAAAGATGAACCAAAGAAGAAGAATTCACCAACCGTTACTTATCTCACTTTCATTCAAGTCCTTCCATTCATTTTCATTTGCACTCCCGCAGCCAATACCCATGAAGAAGATGAGATAAGATGATGTGAAAAACCAGCGCCACGTGGCACCCGCATTGTGGTGGTTATTGATAAGGCTAAGGTCCAAAAATTTCATGCCCTCATGTGGTCATTAAGTCATAATATGGATGAACCACATAATCAAATGGTGGACATTGAGCTAGGATCGGATTGAATGATTTTTGTCCGTTAGATAACAGGAAGCAGTGCCAGTTCCATTATTTATACACTGATGCTGTAGCCCTTTGTTCATCCTCTCAAAGTAGCGAATCATATCTTGAAAACAGAGAGTTCATATCTTAAGCAACTCCATAATTATAGCAATGGCTTCCATGACCGCTGCTGTTGCCACCATGGCCGGAGCCAGCATGGCTGCTCCTTTCAACGGTCTCAAGTCGGCCGCTGCTTTCCCCATCACCAAGAAGTCCGTCGACATTACTTCCATTGCCAGCAACGGTGGCAGAGTTTCCTGCATGAAGGTAGTTCTCACTTCCAATTACTACACTTTAACTTCACAATCAACATGAAGAAGACTAACCCAGTACTAAATAATGATCCAATTTTGATGGGTTTTTTCTTAATTTTGGGGAATTTTAGGTGTGGCCCCCAGTTGGCAAGAAGAAGTACGAGACTCTGTCTTACCTCCCAGATCTGACTGAGGAGCAATTGTTGAAGGAAGTCGAATACCTCCTCCGCAGTGGATGGGTTCCTTGCATTGAATTCGAGTTGGATGTGAGTTTTCTTGGTTAAAATCAATACTTGAAATGTTTTCAGTAATTTAAGAATGCAAAATTGGGTACCAATTCCGGGTGGGTATTGCAGGATGGATTCGTCCGCCGTGAGAACAACAGGTCTCCCGGATACTATGACGGACGCTACTGGACCATGTGGAAGTTGCCCATGTTCGGATGCACCGACGCCTCTCAGGTGTTGAAGGAAATCGGAGAGTTGAAGAAGGAATACCCACGCTGCTGGGGCCGGATCATCGGTTTCGACAACGTGCGTCAAGTGCAGTGCATCTCCTTCATCGTCGTCAAGCCCGAGGGTTTCTAAGTTTGATTCGTTCGTACAAACAAAAATCAAAGGGAAGAGAACAACTGGGGTTGCTTTGTCTGTGACTGTTTGAAGTGAAAGCGCCTTGTCGCTTTGGTTTCTTTCTTTTTGCAGTCGGGCAATTTAAGAGAGGCACACGGCTTGCTGTGCATCTTTTGCAGATGTTCTTCTTCTTTTTCTACAATTTGTTCTTCGTTTTTAATTCTTTTTCTTTTTCTTTTTTTCCTTTCCAATGACTTTCGGTGTATGTTTCCCCGGATTTCCAAAGGAATGTATGAGACTTATATTTAATAAGATTAGTTGTTTCTGTTTACGTTCTTGCCTTAGAATGTTGTGATTGCATGGATCATTACTACTACGTATTAGGCCTGTGTTTATATCGAATTTTCAAGCATGTCTTCGCCTTCTAAATGCAGCTCTTTTCGTCCCATCAAAAGTCATATGTACAGCATTTGTTAAAATTCTGTGATGTCAAACATTTGTTTTCTTAGGACCAATAGAATACTTCATAAATCTCTAGCAGTTAACCATAGTTAGTTGGAGTAAGAATTATTACTCCACTCTAGAGTAGCAATATCAATAAATTGTGTATCTCAAACAACCATTGTCTTTGTTTTCGTCATGAAGAGGAGACTAATGTTTAGATTACATCATCACTGCATAATGAGCGTGCAATAACCATGTACTGTATCATGTTCAAATTATAGAAGAACTCGAGGTTTCTCAATAACTATTCTATGCCACTCAAACACGATAATGCCAGATTGCCAGGGAAGCAAATGAATCAACTACGAAAGTTCCTCCGGATAAATTTACCTCGATTGTACAAGCTAATCGCACTTCAAGGGGATTAGGATTTAGGATTTTCTATGCCACTTTTGTTGTACACTAGTTAAATAATTGGCATACGTCATTATCATTAATGTTAGTACCTAAATCAATTGAAAAATCAACACATTCAGATAATAAATTATTAAACACGTATCAATCATTTAACTAGTTTCATGTCGGGTATAAAAGAATGTCGCATGACATTTTTCGCCCACTTCTATAATCACTTTTTTCACAAATCATTGTCTCTTTGATGTTTTTAATTTCGTCCGGGTAACTTTATATGGATAGCTCTTACGATTCGATGAAGTTATAAGCTTTGCTCAGACTGACTATGAAACCTTTAACCTGTTGCTTTTAGCAATTACAAATGATGACTACATCATGAATTACAGAATTAGAAACGGTAATAATCCTGTTAAGGAAGAGTGCTACTAATGTGACTCAAATGAGTCGAGACAAACTGACGATGATTTATGTATTACATCGCGCAAGGATTGATGTAACATACAACAATATACTCCCTCCGGTCCTTATTATAAGGCATTTTGACTTTTCATATATTACACTTAGTACACATTTTTAATTGATAATAAAACCTTAAAAATATATTTTCACATTCGTTGTGTTCTCTTAATTGTTATGAAATATTTTTAAGATTTTTTCGTCGCTTAAATATGTGTAATAGGTTAAACTAGGTGTTAGACCCGTCCGATGGACGGAGAAGGCATACACATTTAGACATTTTTATAAAAATATATAATGATTTCAGTTTTTAAACATGATTACCTCTGGGTTTACATGAATTTTTTTTTTAAATGACATTTTAAATTCACTGGTGACAAGGTTTATGCATATCTCTCTAAAATTTGTTAGGATTTGGCACTCTCTCCAATCAATCTCTGTGTTAGGATTTGGTTCATGAAAATAAAGGTTCGATTTTTATTATTTTATTTTTTTTAAAATTATTTTAGTTGTTTTTTTTTGTTTTATTATTTTGTTTTGTGCATTTTTAAGTCTAAGAAATTAAGAAAATGCCACATAGGATTATATCCTATGTGGCATGTGCTTCATGCCTTTAGTTTTCTCTTTCTGATTTTGCCTTAGTATAGTATATAGAAGATTTATGACAAATCAAAATGTTTTATATTAAGGATCGGCGGGAATACATCAACTTTTTAAATTTTAAAACATTTTTTATAGATATAAGTCCAATATCTCGCGTTTTTCCCTTCTAATTTACAAAACATGTATCCAGAGTTATTGCTATGATTAGTTCAGATTCCAATAATAAATCTCTCTCAATAAATATTTTATCATTGGCAACACTAACGGATCCAGAACGAATTTACATTGGGGACCATAAATGCATTACCGAAAAAACAAACTATCATTTTATTATGGTTGATCATGACAAATTTTTCAATTTTGATGAAGTTTTGGAGCCATTTTAATTAGATATTATATGTGCTTATTGTACCATTATTTTTCAACATATAAATTAAACCGAAATCTTGTTTATTCAGGAGTTTAGCATTCGACTATGCAAACAAAAGTCGCAATATTCAAAGCTAAAACCTTTTTCAAGAGTTTTTATATTAATAGGTAAAATAAAAAAAAAATTTGTTTTATAAATTATTTTCAACAAAATGCTTATACGTGGACACAAAAAAGAACAAGAGAAAAAATGTTCATCTATCCTTCGAACACACGATACGTATTTAAATTATGGAAAAAGAAAAATTTTATCTAAGTTAAAATGTTGTAAACATATATGATCATTTTGAAACGTGAATTTATCCGCAAATAGCATAATTACTTTATCAGTTTTTTTTTTTTTTTTGAATAATGCATCACTCACATATATAAATTCTTTTCAAACGTGGACTATGTAGTCAAACCAACATCAAATTAAGTGAATAATTAAGCAAAAAAAAAAGGCTAAAATAACAAAAAACATCATTAATATGGTTAAAAAAATGATTAATAGTATAACTTTTTATTATATTAAAATAAAATATATGTATTTTATATAAGGTTTAGGGTGGGGTCAGTGGGGGCAAGGCTCCATGGCCCCATCCTACATCCGCCAGTGATTGGCAGGGTTATTAGGCTAAACTCTCTTATTAGTTACTATATGTCTCTTGGATTTTTACTTGTGATATTCCAAAAACATAATTCACTCTGACTAAAAACTTCAAAATTCACGGATTTTTTTGTGTGGGATAGGGTAAGTATTTGATTACATAACCCAAGTGAGTTGTGATACAACGTATCCATTTCCGGCAAATTCTTGTATAATCCCTATCCTAAAGAAAGAAAAGTCCACCCATAAATAGAACATATCACAAGAACCACATTGAATTCGCCATTTACTGTAAAAATGGAGTTGGAAATTAAGGAAGGGTGTAGCCTCATTTGATCACTTATGGAAGTCCTAAAAGTGAAAACAAGAGCACCATTTTACTCATTTAGATTCGCCCAATGTGACAAAGTACGCTCAATATATGGGATAGGACTTTGTATCACCAAATCTCAAGCATTATTGATTTGAAAGTAGACTGTTTTCTTTCTTTCTTTGCTTTTTTTTTTCAAACCCATGATTGGAGTTTCATGAAATCGCATATTGCGCCAAAAGGAACACTGTTTACTTCCCAACATTTTGAAGTATTTAACATATTAGATACGTCGAGTATATAGGATTATAGGAATGGACTTAAAGATAGTGTTCAAAAATCCATCCTTCAGAGACTAACAATTCACCCCCTCTTACCCCATTCGGTCTATAAATATAGTCTACATTTCAAGTTATGATTTGTGAATTCAACTATTTCTTATACAATCTACAATTTTGCGAGACGGAGAAAATATTTGTTTCGTTCAATAAAATGAAGTATATTGCTCGAGATAGAGGGATTAGAGCTGAATTAAGAGACGAAAACTTGGGAAAGTTCTAACATTACAGTGAGGTTGACACTCTGTCGGTAAGTGGATGGATTGGTTGGTTTTCTTTTTTTCGTAGGTATGGCAATTCGATGGATCCATATGTGGACGTCCTTAAATTTGGATAAAACGATAAGCTATGTGTTATTTCAGTTTCATGCCCAACTCCCGAACAAATCAACAAATCACTCCGGAAATATTAATTCTCAAAAAATCTGCATTCATTCAGTTTTACGTGGTCCAAAATTCACAGTTGATCGAAATTCACAAATCAGCTTTGTCGGGTGCATAATGTAACCCTAATTACCCATTCTTACATCAAAGTTAAGTAAGAGTTGAGATGTAATGGCCTACCGGGAACCATTATAAAAAGGGCCCTTCCTGCACCCACTTTATTCATCCTCTCAAAGCAACCAAAATCATACATTAAAGAGAGTTATTCAAAAGGAGCTCATCCGGCAAGCACAAAAAGAAATGGCTTCAATGAGCGCTGCTGTTGCCACCATGGCCGGAGCTAGCATTGCTGCTCCTTTCACCGGTCTCAAGTCGGCTGCCGCTTTCCCCGTCACCAAGAAATCAGTCGACATTACTTCCATTGCCAGCAACGGTGGCAGAGTTTCCTGCATGAAGGTATACATAAACTTTCCCATTCTCACTTTCAATTACTACAATTTAGCTTCACAATTCACATAATTAAGACTAACCCATTACTAAATAATGGTCCAATTTTGATGGGATTTGCTTAAATTTGGGGAATTTTTAGGTGTGGCCCCCAGTTGGCAAGAAGAAGTACGAGACTCTGTCTTACCTCCCTGATCTGACTGAGGAGCAATTGTTGAAGGAAGTTGAATACCTTCTCCGCAGTGGATGGGTTCCTTGCATTGAATTCGAGTTGGACGTGAGTTTTCTTGGTTAAAATTATAGTTCTTAAATGTTTTCAGTAATTTAAGAATGCAAATTGGGTACCAATTCCGGTGGGTTTTGCAGGATGGATTCGTCCGCCGTGAGAACAACAGGTCTCCCGGATACTACGACGGACGCTACTGGACCATGTGGAAATTGCCCATGTTTGGATGCACCGACGCGGCCCAGGTGTTGAAGGAAATCGGAGAATTGAAGAAGGAATACCCACGCTGCTGGGGCCGGATCATCGGTTTCGACAACGTCCGTCAAGTCCAGTGCATCTCCTTCATTGTTGTCAAGCCCGAGGGTTTCTAATTATGCTGCAGATCTGCATCTTTTTAGAAAGAAGTTCTTTGTTCTTTGTTTTTTTTACCCCTCCACAACTTCCCAATGACATTCGGTGTATATTTTTCGCGGGATTTCCAAAGGAATGTATGAGACTTTATAAATAATTTAATTTGAGATGGCTCTGTTTCTGTTTTATCTGGCTTGTTTTGAATCTGAGTTAGTAGTATAGTACTGCTTGAATGGATTTAGCATGGCCTAATAATTTATAATAATCTTCTACCATTATAAGCCTATAACACAGTTTGGAGCGCAATGTAACCAGTAATGCTTTTTACTCATAGCAACAAATACTCAACTACTGGTTGGTTTTTTCACTTATACAAGAACATGAATTGAAGAGTTACTCAGCTTCATTCTATAAAAATAATACACATTGTAAATTCTAAATTCTAAATTGTATTCATTATAATTTATAATATCAAGTATTTTCTATAGAACAGACAGAGTATCTTGTTGTATAACACGTGAATATATACATATATATATATATAAAGGAACGACTACTTCATCCGTTACAAAGTAAACTTTCGTATTATCGTATATTTTGATATGAAAAGAAAAAAAAGATGGATTATTGTTACCACTAGGAAAATGTGAATCATGTACAAAGTAGTGATTAATAAAGTTTCACAGAAGGCCATATGCTAAGCAACAGCCTCTTAACTCACAATGGCTACATGCCAAATAACGGTTGTAAGAAACCAAATGTTTGAAAAAACAAGAAATCATCCAATTAATCAATATGGACCTATCCAGTTACTTCATTTAGTCCTTTCGTTTCTCTCTGTATATGGGAAACTACCGAAGCAACAAATGTAAAATAAGAATCATATTTAGTACGACAAATATAATAATTCTTCAAAACACAGATTGTGACAAGAAATCACACTTCTCCGTTCGTCCCCAACATTTGCCATTTTGAATAGAACTTCAAAAAATCTGTTGAGCATTATGTTAACATTCCATTAACATCTCTTAAAAACTTGTTTAGTAACATGATTAGGTCTTTTAACTGATGAAAATTGCGGAAAGTTCCAACAATTATTGACTGAGGTTGACACAGTTAAGAGGGTCAGTGAGCGGATTGGTTGGTTATGTTTTTGCAGGAATGGCGTGTTGATGGATACATATGTGGACGGCTTTCAATTTGGATAAAACGATAACTTGTGTTTCTTTCAGTTTCATTCATCCAAGGTGCAGCCACGAGAATGGCCCAAGTGGTAAAGGGCTAGGCATCCAATTCGGAGGTTCCAGTTCGAAATCCCACGACACCAAAATGTTGTTTTCTTTGTATGTTGCAGATGGAAAATCTTCAAGCACCTGATGAACGCCCGGAAAGAGGCGTTACAGGCATAGAATCGTCCCCTACTAGACTAGATTAGTAGTAGATCCTCTCCTCAAGCACCTGATGGACGCGCGGAAAAAAGCGTTGTTGGCATGGAGTCGTCCCCCACTAGACTAGACTAGTAGTATATCCTCTCCTCCAGACTCACACGTGTAATATTTTAGGTGCTTATAAGAATTGTATAAAAAAAAATTCATCCAAGTTCCAAACAAAATAACTCAAAAGAAAAGAAAATATTAATTTCATCTTTCAAAAAAAAAAAAAAAAAAATCTAGGTTCATTCGGTTTGCCATATGGGCCCAATTCATAATTGAGCAAAACCAACATATGATGAGACACATCTATCACCTTTGTCCTCTTTTACCTCATGATACCCATACTTTCCATAAAAGATTTAAAATGCAATGCCGTCTTGCCCCTGGATGGCTGCAGGCTACCTTAATCGCGGAAACTCAACAAAACTATTCAGTAATAGTATACGGGGAGTACTTGGAAGCTAGAAGGTCTCACATAAAATTTAACTTGGCGCAAGCTGTTTCAGCAAAAAAAAACCTTTTTTAGTCATCAAACTGATTTAGGAATAGTATAGATAGTTAACATTTATGCCGATAGACAAACGGGTTGCTGTGGTGTAGTGGTTATCACGTTAGTCTTACACACTAAAGGTCCCCAGTTCGATCCTGGGCAGCAACACGAAATTTACATAAATTTAGTTTTTGATTTTTCAATTCATTAATTTATCTTTTGGGTTTTTGATTTTTCAAGTCATTAATTTATCTTTTGGGTACATTATTTCTTCCAGTTGTTTGATTTTTCCATTAAAACATCAAATAGTCTCATTGTATGTTGCTCCCTCCAATCCTTTTCATAACACAACAAACATTAATATGCAAATTAACCATACAATTTTGGTTTTCTGATTTGCTTCTTTCAAATTTCAATCAATTATTTTCTTTTTGGGAATACATCAGTATCAAATCACAATGAAATTATGGAAGTACATTCGCCAAAAACATGGTTTTATAGATTTTTACCCAAAGTTATAGTTGCATGTTAGAATCGTATCGTCCCATTCGCAACATTTTAATGTGCCATTACATGTTTACACTTTATACACCATTGTTTTGTCTTATCAGTCATTTATACTCAAATATATATAGATGATTTCTCTATTTTCTTTTTTCATTTATGATGAATAAATTAATTCGATCGATGTTCGTTGCGATCGACATTGACACATCTGCTTATTTTCACATACGGAAATAAGCATAATAATAGTTTAAGGATAAATTCTAAGGTATTTTTAAAATTTTTTGAGTTCGTGATCTAAAAGAAATTCCAAAAACTTTGTTTGTTTGGACAACCAACCTTCCAAGAACATGCTTTATTTTCCCACCACTTTTAATCAATCCACCACTGATGTAGGACAGTCGACAGTGATTGGATGGTGGTTAGTTATTTGAATCATTTTAAAAATTATTTTCAAAAACCGTTTAAAATAACACAAACAGAAACAAAAATCCAGATAAATCATTCTTTTTTTCTTTTTTTTTTTTAAATATGGTGCGAAGATGGCGGTAAAACAAATTTGTGAGACACATATGGAAAAATCAAACTTGACATATTCCATGATCTAGTTAGTATTAGCACTAAATTAGTGGGGAAGTCAAATTATGTAAATTCTACTATACCTAACCTACATGATAATAGTAATAAATAGGAAAAATACGGAAACAAAAAATAACACGATACGTCCACGTCTTTGCCAAATCAGCACATTTATTCCAGTATCCAATTAGTACTAGCCAAGTCAACTCAGTAATGGCATCTCCTTCTTCACTTCAACATCTTCCTTTTCCACCTTTCTCTAGAAAACATGACTCTCTAATTTTTTCAATTTTAAAAGGAAAACAAAAAATTAAAAATCAAACATAGGATTGCATCTCAAATCAATTCATTCATAAATCATATGACACCACATGGCCTTAAAAACAGCAATGCTTTGTTATCCAATTAATGGTACAAAGAAATTGTTTTGAGTTAGTCAGAAGGAGCATTTTTCTTATTTCATTTTGTCAACTTTTCTTTTCCTGCCGTATTTTATTCTAGTTGGGTTCTGAAATTTGTTGATAGTATTTACTTTGGAAGTCTAATTGCGTTTCTGGGTTCTGAAAAAAGATTTGAAATTTATGGTATAGAGGTAAAATATAGAGCTTCTTCTGTGAGGGGTGAGAAAAGGGCTCCAATGGTTAAACTCGAGAGGTTTCCAGGGGTTACGGATGAATTGCAGCAGATATTGGACGCAAACATGGATGAAGTTGGGCCCCGACGACGTGCTCGTGACGCCTTTAAGGATATTCAACTCTCAATTGATCATCTTTTGTTCAAGGTACTTGACGATTTGTGTTTTTATTGATTGGTGATTTGATAAAGCTTAAGCCTTTATGCTCACTGTTGAAGGAAGTTATTGCCTTTCTTCATTTAATCCATTAGTTTCAAGGTATTAATCTCATGGTATCAATCCGATTTAATTCTATCCTGGACCTGTTTAATCTGAAATAGCTTAATTGTACAATAGGAATCAAAGACTGTTTTGTTTTGAAGATATTTTCATGCAAGCTAAGTAGGGTCATTTATTACTCGTTTTGATGTGGGACGATGTGGTATCCTATAATAGCAATTGAGCATGATGTGTCTTAGCTTCTGCAGGGTATACTTTATTAATTCTTGTTCATTAGAACTTATTGATAACTATTCAGTTAAAGGAAGTAACTTTAGCTTTACTAAATCACGTGACTGTTACAGAGGTTATTTATTTTCCAATTGCTGTTTGTAGTTCTTGAGGAATGATTTTAGGATACTCTCAGCCTCCTGTTGATACTGAATTTTTTGGGTGTATTTCGTATTTGCCTGTTTGCAGACTCCATGTGATGGGTTGAAGATGAAAGAGGTACATCTTTCAATTCGACCATGCTTTTGTTTTCTGCTGAAGATTTGCACGTTGCATCCTAGCTTATAAATGTCTTTAAAAATCTGATAATGATAAATGTATCTTTTCTTGGATGTGTTTCTGAATCGAAGATTAACTTATGAGACACATTATACCTTTTGAAATGAAATGAAAACAAAGCTTTACGGATCAAATCTGTCACCTGTTGTTTCTCAACATTCTTTTTCAAGTTTCATTTCTAATCTGCAAATTCGGTTTTGTAGTTCACATTTTCAGAACTTTTCACTTGAAACATATGTCACGGTATATAAATAGCTCCACTGCATCACCTGTTCATGTAAATGTTCTATTTTGAGATTTTAAAATCCTGTGATGCAGTCGTATGAGGTGAATTCAAAAGGAGTGGAGATTTTTACAAAAAGTTGGCTTCCTGAGGCCAATCAACCAAAGGCTGTGATATGTTTCTGTCATGGTTATGGCGACACTTGCACCTTTTTCTTTGAAGGTCTGCATCTGATATCATACATTAAAAGTTGTATACTCCCTGCTCCGTAATTTGAGATCTTAAGGAACTCTTGTGGTCCTGTGTAGGAATTGCCAGAAAGTTTGCATCTGCAGGCTATGGAGTTTTCGCCATGGATTATCCAGGATTTGGTCTTTCTGAGGGTCTTCATGGCTATATTCCAAGCTTTGATGGTCTTGTGGACATTGTTATTGAGCATTACTCTAAAATTAAAGGTATTTGCTAATCTCTTATTTAGATAGTGTCTTTAAGGATAGACAAAATGAGTAACGCCCTATTCTAAGTGGTTGCTGCTTCTTGTTGATTTTGTAATAAGTAGGAGTTTAAAATATCAAATGAATTTTGCCTGCAGAATCTCCAGAATTTCGTTCTTTGCCAAGCTTCCTTTTTGGACAATCTATGGGTGGAGCAGTAGCTCTGAAAGTGCATCTAAAACAGCCTAATTCATGGACTGGAGCTATTCTTGTCGCACCAATGTGCAAAGTATGCTGAACTTACTTCTTATATTCTCGTTTCTTGTTGTAATCTTGTGTGGTAACACTCAACTTTTGGTATAGATTGCCGATGACATTACTCCGCCTTGGTTAGTGAAGCAAGTTCTTATTGGTATTGCGAAGCTTCTACCAAAACAGAAGCTAGTTCCTCAAAAGGATCTGGCTGACTTAGCATGCAGAGAAAAGAAGAAAAGATATGCGGTTGGTTTGCCTTCTTTGGCACAGTTGATGAAGCAACATTCATCATTCTAAGACTAGTTCCTTGTACTTTTGGCTTTGAGTTGATCATTTACTTGCTCTTTTGCAGATGGACTACAATGTTATTTCATACAAGCACAAGCCCCGTCTAAGGACAGCCCTGGAGTTACTGCACACAACTCAGGAGATTGAGAAACAATTGGATAAAGTATGTTATTGCTTGTGCACAACATCTTGTTCACCCTTCATTTTTTTTTCTTTTCTCCCTGTGAAATTATTTGCAGTTTTATCTCCTTGACAATCGCTACTGGTTTAAATTTTGGTTGTGCTGGTACCCCACCTTCCTGCTCAATCACAACATGGTACCTATAGTGAAGCTGGACATACAAATAAATAATTAGGATTATTTTTATTTGGAAAGTCGAAAGTCATAGATGTGACAGTCTTTTGGTTATTTCCATGGTAGAAAATAGAAACGTGCTGAACATTACACAATGTTTGAGCCGAAAAACATGATTTTGGTGTTGAGGGTTTAGAATTACCTGAAGAGAGGTGTTTCATACAGTGCTGAGCCTGTCCATATTATTTCTGGTTTTCCCTAAAGTTACATTAATTGTTTGATTCATGCTTCAGCCAAGCGTTGCATAAGATGGAAGCATCTTTTATAGATTTTCATTTCAGTGAGTGATGCAGATAATTATCGTTTCCGTTTCTCTTTTATGTAGATTTCTCTGCCGCTGTTGATCCTCCACGGAAAAGCTGATATGTTGACTGATCCATCTGTTAGCCAGGCACTGTATGAGAAGGCAAGAAGTACAGATAAGAAACTGATTCTTTACGATGATGCTTATCATTCTCTTCTCGAGGGCGAGCCAGATGAGATGATACTCAGAGTATTTAATGACATATTTTCTTGGCTTGATGCCCATATTGGACAAAAGCTCGATGAATAAATTACCTATTGGATCGTCCCTCATTTTTAGTTTTTTCAATTTGTACAAATAATAATTGAAAAGGTACAGGGGGGGGTTTTGGTACCGTTTTACCATTGCTTTGTACGCTGCATTATTATTTTTTTTATTTTCCTTTCTTAACAAAATAATAGGAAAATTCTTGTTTCCGTCAAAACATTTTGTTTGCAATGCCAAGAATCTCTCTTCTCTATCTCGTTTTTTTTTTTTGCCCTATATTAAAAAGACAGACAAAAATTCATTGAATCTCTTTCTATTTTGTATATGATATTTAGTCAATCTGATGTTCAAGAAACCATTAAACTCCCAAAACACCAAATGGGCGTTTTATACTGAATACTTAAGAAAAAGTAGTGGTATTTTTGGAGTGTCACTTTCACTGACCGGCCGTGAAAAAGTTATTGATGTGAGAAAATGTAAACAAAATCACATTCTCATTCTCATTTATTTAAAATGCAACATATTATAAAGAAATTGTTCCCACTTAGAGAATGCTTACACACGCCACATGTCACATTATGCAAACTGCAAACAATTGGGCAATTCACGATGCAGATTTCTTTCTTCTGTCTCCTCCTATGAGGAACCATCTCTATTGCAGGATATCTGGAAAAGATAAAAAAAAATCTTAACAAAACTAAAAACATTATAAGAAAAAAAAGAAAACCTGTTTCGTGTCCTTCGCCCGAAGAACATATGTGTAAAAAAGAAATAAATATAAAGGAAAGGACCCCATGATCCATTTGAAGCCTACCCAACTAAAATTCCAATAGGATCAGATTAGGCCAATCAAGACCCGCCTATCCACCAATTTTAGCCTGTGTTGAAAACCGACCATTCTGCATGTGCGCCAAGTGTACAAACACATGGCTAATCTCAGATTCGAAGAAAAACCCACATTTAACCAGATTTTCGGGTTCGGACATCAATCCCACAAAAGTTCTATACCCACTAACTCCACTGTTCTAATGAGCTTTGCCTTTGTCCCATGGGATTTGGGCAAAGTCTTGTTTGTTAGAGAAGTGTGAAATTGGTAAATTGTCAGGAAGTATCCCAATTTTTGGTTTTCACTGACCCCCCATTTTCTTGTTTAAGTGGGTTGATGATGACACGGGTTCCGAGCTGTACCATGAATCCGTTCACCATCTTTCTTTCTACTACTTTATTGAATTCATAAGATGCGTGTCTTCAGGGGAGAATTCCCTTATTTTCTTGTTTAACTTTCTCCAATTCTTTTTGCTGTCTCTGGGATATTTTCTTTTCGGGGGTCTTCTATATAAGTAGGCCGACCATTTGAGTGTTTGATGAAGCATTCGTTTTTGCCATTTCTGAACCTATTCAATTTTCTTGCCCACCGTCCATGGCCTTCTCTTCTTGCCTTAGCCAATCCCGGGTGCTTTTCAAGGTAGAGTCTTTATGCTTCTTTGTGCATCAATTTTTGTAACTATACTTGAATGCATCCTTCATTGATGCTGTAAAATTGAGAATTGTCATTTTGTCATTATTCTCGTGTTGAATGTTGATACTTTCACCGTGCTTCGTTTCAATTGATGAATGTAACTTCTGTTTTGGTTTGTTGAACTTGGATAATTGGATGGCTTAAAATGCATGATTGGAAGTATTGTTAGTACTATGCAGTTTGAAGGATGGAGTGATCGTGAGATGATTGGAAGTATTGTTATTACTTCTTCTGAATTTTTATTTATCCCTTTTGGCTTCAGTAGCATTGGCATTCTCTGCTGGATTCAAAATTTGATTCCGCACTCCAAATGCTGTGTTGACACTAGTTTACTTCCATTATTGTGTGCTGCTTTTCTGTTGTAGGTTAACTGTGTAGTAGGTTTGAGTTCTAGAGTTTGTCGTGGCAATGGGACGAGTCCGAGTCCAAATACTGGCCATTTCACCCGACGAGCTGTGGAGAAAATGGGAGCTAAGCTGAAACCTGGATTGAGCTTTACAGGAACACCATTATCAATCACAAAGGAAAATCTTGGACTAGCTGTTGATAGGAGCAAAAGCTATCCTGTTTCTGCTTCATGTTTGCCCAGCTCTCAACTTGCTGCAAGTGTTTTTACAATTGGAACTATAGCAGTTCTACCATTTTACACCCTCATGGTTGCAGCACCTAAGTCCGAACTTACAAAGAAATTCATAGGAAGTAGCATACCTTACATTTTGCTTGGTCTGGCTTATGGATACCTTCTGTATCTCTCTTGGACGCCAGACACGATAAAGCTGATGTTTTCGAGTAAATATTGGCTGCCAGAGCTGTCTGCTATCGCTAAATTGTTCTCCAGTGAGATGACTCTGGCTTCTGCATGGGTTCATTTATTAGTCATTGATCTTTTCGCCGCAAGGTAACGTAGCAGTTCATGAGCTTGTATTTATGTGCATCTAGGACTGTATTAGTTAGGAATCTGTTGTGCTTGTATGCTCGCTCCCTACTCCAAATTCCATTAACTTGGTTTTTGATTGGTTCTTATTCAATTCAAGCAGGCAGGTTTTTCAGGAGGGGTTGCAGGACAACATCGAAACACGGCATTCGGTGTCCCTCTGCTTACTTTTCTGCCCGATAGGAGTTCTTGTTCATTTTATCACCAAAGCTCTAACCAAGAATGTAAAGCAGCAGATTCATTAGTAATGGAATTAATCATTCTGGTTCACTCTAGGAAGGTATTACTATATCTGGTAGTTCTTGACATAGTCGAGATAGGGGCTTTTGTATCAGTGTAGAAGGTGTAGTGTTTACATCGCTTCCTTTCGTGCATTCAACGATGTAGTTTCAGTTCAGAGTCAATTATTACTTATTCTCACCATCTACATCTTCACAAAAAAGAAAAAGGAAATCTTCATCGATACAACTATTATACAAGTTATAAACTGAAAAAGTTATATGCAAACATCTTTACACTCGTACCATTAACTTATTTAAAAAGTAGGTCATACAATTTAGTTCAGCACCCTGGTTAATGAATCTTAACTCATCTACATAGAAATAACCGGTTCATCATTATACATATGTTGTCTGCAGAACACTGAAACAATATGACAACTTTAAAATGCTTCAATTTCACCTGGAACAGTATAATCACTACAGTAACTACCAACCAACTACATTAAAGGAAAATCAGGGTGAAAAGGAGTCGGCACAAAGCTTAATGGGAGAAGAGTAGCGAAACAATGAAAAGAATGGCCCACTGTACAATAATCTTGCTCATTCTCTGAGCTCCTAAAGAAGTTGAGGATACGGTATATGACAGATTCTTAATCAAGATCCACCCCACCCTGTTAAGTGTTAACAACGCCCTTCCTATGATTCCTAGCTAACGTGCATTGCGATATTTATCCAGCACGATGTAGTTATGATTGAGAAAACAGATTCAAACTTTTACTGCAGCAGAAACAGGTAGCTCCTCTGAGTACGTTCATATGCTGCGGCTCCACTACAAAGATGGGGACGACTCACCAGGAAAGATATCTGATCCTGTTATTCATGGAAAGCATGTCATGTTTCCCTCCCGTTTGATCTATTTTAAACAAATGATGCATAAGCTTACAAGTAGCAAGTCAATTGTTTCATGTAGGAAGAGGAGACATCTCCACTCGATCATCAAAAAATCCATTTGATTCTGCTTTCGCGAGAGAATCCTTGCGAGTTCTATCCAATGAAGTTGCTTCATGAATTCCTAGCAAATTTCAGAGAACTAAAAGTTAGACATTCAGAGGTAATTCAGGATTGTAGACATCTTATAAGGAGATTATAGAGCCCAGTCAGTTTTAATAGTACATGTTATTACTAACTAATGGGATTATATAATAGTACATGTTACTAAAAGCGGCATTTCATTTAACACTGACCATTTACCATAGTTATTACTGGCCCGCTTCTTCTGGGATATCAATCTATAACTGATGATACTTTTGCAATAAAGAACGACCAAGAACTTAGAAAATAATTAATAAAATCAGCTGCCCTCCTAATAATCAGGTGGCACCGTAATTTGATACCCTTACCTCCAGTCTCGTGAATTTTATGCTTTTTACATTGTCATGCAATATACAGAACACTTTCTGCTCTGTAACTGAACTTTTGTTTGGAATGAAATGCTCTAATTGCATGAGGGGTTCTGGAAAGTGTGTATGTTTCTTTCACGGTTCACAGAAATAATAATCACGACATGTTTACTACAATTAGGTAATAAAATCACACAAAACATCGAAGATATTACTGAAGGTCATACCAAAACCCAAAATGGCCGCACATATAAGAAAGCCCACAAGCGAGAAGTCCATTTGGTACACTTTTTCCATTAGAATGATGCATGCTCCCGCGACCAGTAAATGCCTTGGAGAAGAGAACACCATATGTAATCTACAAATGATGGGGAACTAGATTGTAAGGTGATGACCATGATAGATTGAAAATGGAAAATAAGTCATGACCCGAGCATGAAACTCGTAAACACTTGGAGCTCTATGTTTCAATATTCCATTGACATAGTTAAAGTGAAATGTACAGCGAAAGGTGCAGTGTCCCTCTTTTAGTTCTGATAGATGGGATGAATAAGATTCAAAAAAAGATGGGAGTGAAAGGCCAAGATACAAAAAATGCAAAAAGAAGATCCCTACTAAGAAATGAGAACAACTGGAGAAATAACATGGGCATTTTATCTGTGTCTGAAACGGGGTTTGCATAAAAGGTTTTTGGTTGACATGGGCATGCAAATTGAGAAAGTGAACATGATACCTACAGAAAGTTATACTCATTATTATGTGATAACAAGCATAAACAAGCATAAACAAGCATACAACTAGAAATTGCAAAACTAGAAGTCACTCAAATTCGCAACACCAAAAGAAAGTATCTGAAAATGGTTTTATAAAAAGGTACCTTTCCTCTGCAATACTGTCAACATAGAATATCAAAATTATTCCGAAGAGGATGGTGCTTAAAAAGGGCCACGCAGAAAATGGCAATTCTACATTGGTTGACCCCTGAAATAAGCAAGATGCCCAAAGAAAAACAGATAAGCACCTTCCATAAGAAATCCTAACAGGAATTACTTTAGATCTGTTTACTGTTAGTGTCACTGAACTTACAATGATCATGTCCCACATAGCCACAGGGAAGAGAAAACAAGTAGCAGAAGTGATTGTAATCGCATGAAGTCGTCTCTTAAGTTGATTCTGAAACCATAAAATGCATATAACAGGGTGTCACTTTTCTCCTCCCCCCCACCAAAAGCAAATATGGTGATAGCATTTGAATACTAAAAATACTTCTAGAACATATTCAATACCTTGAGTGAGACTCGCCTTGCAATCACTCTTCTAAGTGCTGATAAGACTCCAGCAACAATGGGCACAATTATTTCCCTGATTCCAAAAACTTGCTCCGTCCTAAGCTCAGACTCAGGATTCTCACTAAATGGTATCTTATCGTTAAATTAAACCACTAATCACTAAGATAATGAGCTCATAGAGGACACAAATTTATTATATTCAATGAAATTTCAGAACAAATGTATCCAAATGAAGAAAGGATATTAAATGGCGTATGTGAGGCTGTTGACCATCCTTGAGACAAGAAATAAAACGAAGCCATCATTGCAACAAGCCCACCCACCTGATACAGAGAATAGTAAGACCTTAAAACTAAATGAACAGGAGAATCATGCACATCCTCTTGATTGATGAATCCAAGTAACAAGGGTAAGTAGCTGAATAGAATTTCGAATGTTCCAAGAAGCTGAGAATAGAAGACAGTGCCTTGATTCTTCAAGTCAACACACCAACAATGTATATCCATCTATATGATATCCCGGATGCACAAGAATGCTTGAAAACTTTCCACGTATAAATCAGAACCTTCACATGCTAATCTAACTCTATCTGGAAATTACAGAACAAACACATATTCTGAAACTTTAAAAAAAAAAGTTGTTCATCTTTCCATAGGAAGATTGCTAACAGTTTAAACCAGAATTTATAAAACAAATAACACAAAAGTATTCAAGTGTATAAGAAGTTGAAAATAAGTAAACCTTTTTCCACAAGTGGCCTCTCCTCCCATACAGTACTCCAGATAAGACCCCAAGAACGGCACCAGAATATTCAGCTAGGATGATCCTGAGTAAGGCAGTAATTTCCAATACAAAAATGACATGTCAAGGACAATGAGAATGCCTGAAATAAAAATTAACAAATACTTCAATTGGAAATAGATTATACACGGAGAAAGAACATGTGAAAGTCCAAATAGTTCAGTGGAAAATATATTTCGAATCCTGGAGGTCATATCTCCTATTCAAAAAATACAAGAAGAATATAGGAAATCACAGATAATCCTCTAGACATTTTATTTTATTTATTTTTTGAAAAGGCTATAAACATTCAATTCATTAATTTCTCATTCCTTTTCTCTCTCTATCACCCAAACAGAGTTAGTGATACGTCAACCTAAACCTAAGACTATAAGGCTACTAGTAGTGATAATGTCAAGTCTAAATGAGAAATTTTAAAGAAAATCACTTAATTTACATAAAACTAAAAGAAAACTAAAGAATTACAGAAAGCAAAATTCATGAAATTTAGAAATCTTACCGAAGAGGTCCACAGGATTGTAAGCCCTTTCCCCATAATATAAAATACAAAGCTGTTAGACCACCATTTATAACAGAAGGTATCACCTGCACAGACAAATACGAATGTCATCCGGTAAGAAGGGGTAATCGAAAAACAACTGGATTAGCGAGAGGAAACTGATGGTACAAGACCTGAGCATTGGAGAGTGGCCTGCCCTTCCAGGGTTTTTGCAGGACCAAAAACAGGAGGCACGCCGGAACCAGACAGCTAAAAATGAAAAGCACTACCGAAGCCCCGGTCTGTGACAAGTAATGATACATAGAATAGACCGACCATATCCTCATAAAGTTGCCAATAAGGTGAATGATCTGCAATGGCGTCTGCCTGCATTTTGTAAACGATGCATATCAGCTGATTGTAAGATGTATCATCCGAACCAACCTTTGACCTCCGGCAAACACAAAACGAACAATAGTGCTTGTAACTTCATTTCTTTTTACTAAACAAAATGGAGAGTACACCTCGGGGAAATCAAGAGGCAGCTAAATGATTAACTGGAGAATGCTCTCTGAAAAAAAAAGAAAAGAAGAAGAAGCTCGAAATGCAATTACTAGAACCCTAATTCCCTAGAATACAACGAAATACTGAAATCTTCCACAATTTCAAACACACTTGGAAATTGAACAGACTTCAATTTAGGGAAGAATAAACAAACTTGAAGTAAAACGAATTACGAAGTAGAGCGTTATCAAGGAACTACCTAAAATTAGGCGACTGTGAAAAAGCTCCACGATCTTCAAGATTTTGGTTCGGTGACATCATCTTTGCAGTCAATTGTTGAGTTTCCGGAGTTCCGTATGCCGGTGAGGGAAGAAACCGGGCGAATTCGCCGATGAGCATAGATATCTCCCCTGGAGTAGAATTAACTTAACAATAGTGGGCTTGATGGGCCGATACTTGGGCTTCATCAATTCCTATGGGCTTATGTTCTTTTTTCAACAAAATAAAAAAAAAAGGAAAGTATACTCTGTATAAAATTGATCCTAAATGCACACAGAAGCGTTCAGCTTCCAATTTTTTCCAAGCATTCTAGCAATGGCTACTCTTTGGAGCTTCGGGTCAAGCTTAATCTTCCTCACAAAAAACCCGCCCAGAAGGGCGAACATGAGAACGCTGGCTGCCATCAATGTGGAACACAAAATGCGGGTTCCGTATGAGCTGAAAAAGGGTCAATCCCGTATTTTCCACACGCTTCCATCTGGGTTGAACATGGAAGTCATCTTCCAAGAGGGGGCGAAACGCAAAATTTCAGATAAAGGGAATGATAATTCAGAAAATCCACCATTAGTGTTTATTCATGGAAGCTATCACGCAGCTTGGTGCTGGGCTGAACATTGGCTGCCTTACTTCTCCCAAAATGGATATGACTGCTATGCTCTCAGCTTATTGGGTCAGGTTGGTTCTTCTTTTTAAACTTCTGCCTTTGATTAGTTTGATACATACCTGAAATTTAACTTTGGAACCTATTTATAAATATTTGTAAAGTAGAGGATCGGATAAACTTCGTCCTTTGGTTGAATTAGCTTGAATCAATGGTGCTTTGATTATCTTATGTTTGATAAAGTAGCAATGGGGCATTTTTGTTGCTGTTTGTGGTTTCGAATCTAAATTCAATGCTCATTTTAATATAATTATTGCTGACAGGGGGAAAGCGATGCTCCTACTGGTCAAGTGGCTGGAACTCTCCAGGTTCTGATCTGTTCTGTAGCTCTTAATCAGACAAAAGCCTTTTAAAATAATTGCAATGGAGTGGGAAAGGAAGGGTAGAATGGAAGTTGTCTTTGAAGAGAGTCTCCAACATGTTTGCTTCAGTTGATCAATATCCCTTTTGTACTAAATTCTGCTATTTATCCTGTTCAATTTGCAGTAGACACATGCAAGGGATGTCGCTGACTTCATCCAGAAAGAAATCAAGTTGCCCCCTGTCTTAGTTGGACATTCATTTGGAGGACTGATTGTTCAGTACTACATTGCAAATGTGAGAAAAGATAAAACACAAGGTAACATTTCAGCTGCTAAGCTGTAAGTTTATCAAAGAAGGCAAAGTAGGATCTTGCTTATAGAGCCTGCCAAAGAGTTGTAGATTACAGGTCACACTGAAGTAGAAAATTTTATGTGTTCCTCTTTTCAATTTCGTAATTCGGGAGCACGGCAAATAATCTCTCAATATTCTTAATGAAAAGTAGTGTGTACCGTAACTGCATAAGCTCAAAATCTAAAAAACTGCAAAAGAAATCTCATTACTGTACAGAGCTTGAAGCTTCCGAGGGATATAAGAATGTTTCTTGGACTGTGATAAGCTTTTTCCTGCTCAGTCCTGAAGGCTTTGTATGCATATAATATTTTGTCTTCAGGGATATGCTCCTTTCCTCTTCTCATGGAAAACTAATTATCAGTGATTATTGAGACATCTGAAATCTTTTTTCGATAGTTGAATAAAAATTTTATGTCTTTTAGTTAAATTTACCAATGCAAGTGTTCTTTTTGTAACCTTGATTCTAGTTAATGGAAGCTTACACCCCTACATTACCGGTGCTGCAATGCTTTGCTCTGTTCCTCCATCTGGTAATGGGTGAGTTCCTTATAATATAATCTTATCCTTAAACATTGTCAGTGGCAGCTAACTTATCTTTTTTCACTTCATTCAGTGGGATAGTGTGGCGGTATCTCTTCTCCAAACCCATTGCTGCATTTAAGGTTTGACGCCCTTACTTTAACAACAGTCCAACTAGTTCATTTTCATTCTTGTTGCAGCAAAAAATTCTCACTGCATTATTGTCTTTACCACCGTGTTTTGGGGCCCGAAGCATTTTGCTACCCCGGGGGGGGGGTCGCCTTATTGTCTTACATAAAGTTCACCCTTTCATTCTAAGTTATGTTCCCAAAAGCCTAGTTTGGTCATTCATAACCTTGTTAGCTACCATCATTCCTTCAGTATTGGTTCAATGTTTCTGCAGATAACGCGCAGCTTGGCAGCCAAAGCATTTCAAACTTCGTTGCCTATTTGTAGGGAAACATTCTTCTCCGTTGCCATGCAGGATGAACTGGTTTTACGGTTTGTGCTTGAGACCTTGTATTATTCAAGTGTTTAACATGACCATATTAGAATGTTCTTCCTTTGCTGTTCTTCAATTGGAATAGCTGAAACATTTCCCTTATTTGTCTTCAGTTATCAGAAGTTGATGAAGGAAAGTTCACGGATGCCATTGTTTGACCTAAGGAAGCTAAATGCATCACTTCCTGTTCCTCCCTTGACAAATCCTTCTCTTCCAGTTTTTGTTTTGGGTGCAAAGGATGACTTCATAGTGGTAGGTAAAAAGAATCTCAAGATTTCAGCAATAGAATGTGCGATTCATATGAGCCATAAAAAATGTTAACCTTGTTATACCACTTGCATTTTCTTTAAATATAAAGCCAATGTCTCTTCTGTTGCAATGCAAAGCCAATTTCTCGTCCTAAGATTAAATGAAATTCGTAGGATCTGGAAGGACTCCAGGAGACAGGCCGATTTTATGGTGTCTCACCAGTGTGCATTGAAGGGGTGGCCCATGATATGATGCTGGATTGCTCCTGGGAAAAGGGTGCTCGTGTACTGCTTTCCTGGTTGTCTAGTCTGGACCCAGAAGATTAACACCGGCAGTTAATGAACTTCGATTTTCTCAGCAATAGTTTGATCTCTACGGAATACATTTACTTTATGGTTGAGAACATAGAACTGATCTGCTGAGCTATTTTTGAAGCTTAGAATCAAACATTTTAACGTAATCACCAAAATCATGGAGGATATTCTACTTGTAACCTAATTTTGAGTTAGTATAGCTGGTTATTGGGATTTTTTGAGTTTATTAGATGTAATCGTCGATATTGTATAATTTCTGACCATTCATTCTTCTTCTTCTTCGTCCTTTTTTTTTTCCATATACAAAGTAACAAGAGTCAAAAGTCCAAATCATAACATTCCAAATTCCAACCATAGAATCGCTGTAACTAATTGTTCCCATAGATTACCATGATCATCCAGGATAAACCGAAGGGAGGAAACGGGACATTCCCGATATTTAGAGAATTTTAGTTGGCTATTTCTTGCTAATATGTATCATTTGCCTTTGGTAAATCTTCCACTATATTTGCTAGTTTTGCATATACAATATTAATTTAATCCTAAGAAAGAACAAAGGCACATGGCATAACGAAGTAGGCCATTCCACTGTAAGAGGCTCTGGGCAGTGGGCAAATCCCTGTTATGTTCAAAGCTTATATCAGCCGAGTTTATTTTATTTATCCGCCCAACTCCTCAAAAAATTCTACTATTAACTCCTGCTCTGTACAAATTCACGCCGGATGTAGTTGCTATAGTTATCTCAGTGTTTGCAGGTGTAAATAATACATCGCCATCAGCAACTACCTCCCCAGAGGATGCACAAGAAATCGTCCCTTCTCCTGCCATGACCAGAAAGATGGAGGGCCCAGGGATGGCTGGGAAAACAACAAGCTTTCCTTGGGGAAGGATGCAATGGTCAACCTCAAATTCATCAAATGGAGGAAGGTACCTATATACATATTCATTCACTGCAACACCTTCAAGAATCTCTGGCAGACCCTGCAAGAGAAACCCAAATCAAATGGTCAGGTTTCCAATTTAAGGCATTATGGCCCTTTTTCCCAAGTACATCCTCATAAAACCTCGTGAACACGCAAAACCAAGCAGGTATACAAGGGCAACCAACTGACAATAAATCACAACAGTCCAGCGGGAGTAAAAAGTAAAACACACATTAAAATAAGCGCCGTTGAAGACTACTTAAATCCTTAATGTGTTAGATCTCTGCACGAAACCATGAAAATTGTTTTTTGTTCCCCTCCGTAAATTACCTAACATGAATGAATGAACACAGCAATGCAATTTATTACAAACTTCAAGGCTTCAGGGCCTCCAAAAATGTACCTTAAGACTATTGATGTAAGAAGTTCATCATTACAAGGCTATCATCAACCATATCAAACTCATTACTGACTTAAGGAAAAAAAAAACTTAACGAGCAACTTCCCAGTTTTTAGAGAGTCTATCAGCTTTCTACAGGGACGGTCACACTCCAAATCCAAACTAAACAAACCTATTGCAACCAGAACAAGAATTCTTGACTACAATAGCTAATACAAAAACATCAAGACTAAAGAAAATACACACAAACAAGCGAAGTAGAGTGCAATATTACCTGTTTATATGTGAGCATAGAACAAAGAGTAGGGACATCCCGGGCCTTAGGAGTAAGGCCAGCTCGGACGACATTATCTGAAGTCGCCATGCACTCTATACACTCACCATATATGTACGCATGGGGTTCATTTGCCCCTAAATACAGAGCTTGACCAGGGTTAAGCTTGATGTGGTTGAATAGGAATGCTGCCAGGACACCTATATCAGCTGGATACTGCTTTTCAAGTCGCAATACAAGTTGTTCCTTTTCTGTCAACTCCCTTGCCTGGAGAGGGAAATCAAATATTAAGGAGCAATAAACAAAAGATTACAGACAAAGAGAACCTCAAATCAACGTTCATTGAGCTAATAGCTGTGAGCATTAGATAATTCATCCCAAAATTTCTACATTCTTCCCATCTGGCAAATGCATCAGCCAGCATATGAGCTAATCAGGAAACTAAAGAGAATCAAACATGCGCATCTGTGAAGCAAAACGCATGCAAATCAGCTCCTGCGATCAGTCCTCGGTGCAAGCTAGTTTGTACATTCAGTTAGTAGTTGTAGCAAACTACAGCCAATATGCTGGCTAACCTCCTATTCAACAAGTCACAACCAAAACATCAACAAGTATAAATACTGCGATTACTTAGAAATGAGACACATCAGGAACAGTAAAAGCCTAATAGACTGCATAACTGCATAAGTAGCATATTCTTCCTAACACCAAGCTACCTATTACTTCATAAACGCGAAAAAAAAAGTTCCAAAGCCATGCGCACTTCATGCAAGAAATCCAGATTACTCATGAACAAAAATGTCATATAAATACCTCCTCCTTCATGATTAGGCGACTTATCAATCTGGATAATGCTTGGGCAATAGCGTCCTTGCTGGCTGACATGAGGGCAGTAAATATTAGTTCTAAAACTTCTTTTGATTTCTCTACCTCCTCCATCTGTAGCAGTCGTTCAATAATGGGTCTGCCAACCACCTCGGCAATCTCAGGAACATTGTGGAACACGTCTTTAAGCTCCTAAAAGATTATGATTAAAGAAATTGATTATCCTAGTTGAAATAATCAGCATTAAAATGATAATGTAATTTAATTATATAATATAAAATAATTTGTATTGCAGTTACAAGCAACACGGATCTTTTCATCTAGCAAGTCTTGTGGCATGCTTGGCTTTTCCTCAACAAAAACTTCATATGCACAACAAACACCGGACCTTTTCTAAGGCCTAAACGCCATAGTGTACTCAGGAATTAAATCAGGAATCATAAAGGTCAGTCTTAAATGTTGCATCACACCTCCATAGTTTGTGCTCCAAGAATAAAAAAGGTTACTTGAAGTCTAAAGCTGCTGATTTTGATAACTAATTTACCTCGGGACTGACAAATCCACACAAGGCCTCGAACTTTGTCAGGGCCAAAGCCATCTCAGGCTTGTGATTAGCATCTTTATAAATGTTTGGCTGTGTCTTGTGCAAAATTTTAGCCAATTCCTTGTCTGGATGAGCTTGAATAGACAGTGCTTTTTCAACTGAAAGTACCTGAATTGTGTGGTTTGTTAATAAGAAATCTTCCGCACAAAAAGGAAGGGAAAAAAAATTAAAATCTGTCAATCACAATACAAAAAATACAAAAGCTGGCCATCACAATCCAAAAACTACAAAAGTTGGCCATCACAATCCAACATCCTCTATGGCTTGTTATGCTATTGAATTCTCTTATCACCCCCAAAAAAATTGCCAAAACTTGCTCTTTTTTTTTTTCTTAATAAAAAATCAGTAATCTTATGCATACAGAGACTAACTAAAGCAGTTAAATAGAGGTTAATAACACGGTATAAAGTAACCCGGAGAAAATCAAACTTTAGAACATGGAGAGATAAAGAATTAATTAAAGCAAAAATTACAATTCAGTTATCTAAAAGTAAAAAATAGTAAATTTGTAAGCACCTTGAAGAGAAACGGAAGATTTGGGCCCCATTCTTGATAAACCTTATCCCCCAGCAAACACCTTATCTCCGAACTTTGTTCAATCCAATCCTTCAAACTCAACAACTCGGTGTCGGTGTCGGTGATGCCACCGTTTTCCGCCACACCATTCTCCGCCGGCGAATCAACAACAACAAAGGAAGGACCCGACTCATGAGTGCCCATCCAAAATTCAGCATAAGGCTTCCCTTCCTCCACTTGCAAGCCGCTGTTCCGCTCATAAAGCCGTGCCACGGTGGACTCCGGACCAATGCGCCCCCAGTCGTACGTCTTCACCGAACACCTCAACTTCACAACCTTCCCTCCGTCACCCTGAGTCGGCGCCGCTGCAGCAAAACCACCGTTAGCCTCCTCCATGGACTTGTAATGCATCTTCTTCTTCTTATTATTCTCCCTCAAAACCCTAGAGAAAGAAAGTGAATAAACAACAACACTTCAATTGAAGAGGAGCGAGGGTGAAAAAGGGTTCGAGAAATTGCGGTGCAAATCTCCATTGAGGGGTTTTGGGCCAGAATTTAAAGCGGGAGTTGTATTAAGAGTTTTTTTGGAGGTAACCGTTTTGCAAGAAAAGGAGAAAAACGACAACTGTGTGTGACGGAATTAATTAATTTTAATTCTCTTTTCTTTTTCTTTTTTTCGGGCGAACGCCGTTAGATTTTGGAGGGGGTGAATTTTCCCAACGCGGTTGCGCAAGAGTGACGCACGGCGTCAGGAAATAGACGGGAGGGGGAAGATTTGGATGGGGAAGAAGGAAGGTGGGGCCCCGCGGATGGGTCGGTGGGTTTTCGTCGGATTTCTTCCCTTTTTCAGTTGCTGGGTTTTATGGTGAAGGGACTGTGAAAAACATGTGCTGGCAAGCTAACGGGCCCACGGTTCGAGGCGGATGCTGACATCGAGGTTATACGATATCGTCTAGGCCCACTTATTAGCATCACATTCCACCTTAAGGAGGTTATTCGTGGATTTTACGAATTATTTGCAATTTGTAAACTAGTAGTATCGTATAAAGTATATAAACTTTGCTGGAGTTTCGGATTTTACTAATTAAGAAAAAAAGTTTGCGTGACCAAAAATTAAGAGATTGTTTATGGCACAAAGTCAACTGGAGATTTTATTAATATTGACTTAAATTAGTTGTTTATTTACTTATATTTTATTATCCAAAGTTTTGGCTACATAATTTGTGCATATACCATACGGAGTAGTACAATGTGTACCAACCACCTATCACGTGCAAGACAAATAGCCATGATTAATTCATTTACCAACAAATTTGTGTAATTCAACAACGAAATTGGTCTCTTAAAATGACAAAGATAGGACTCGTGTAGTCTCTTTCGTGATTTGATAAAATCGTAAGTTATTTTACGTTCTCAAATCTTTATTATTACCGATTTCTTTTACTTTTTTATGTACAAACCTCATCACTTATTGGTCTCATATATTTTCGATGATTCCTTATATTTTCTCCGGTGAATCATGATCTCATCCACTTATTTTCCTAAAATTAAAGTTTTATGTGTTATATTGCTAACGATAAAGATATACCCGCATTAATGTATATTCCTATTCCTTTTGGGGTTGGTCGTATATATTCTTATGACCAATCCTCCTAAAGTAACTTTCATCTATTTGTGTTTTTTTTTTTCATAATAGAGTTCGTAAAACTCAACTGTCAAAATAAAAAAACAATTATGTACACCCGTTTTTCTTTCCTCTCTTTTTTTTTTTTTGCTTTATATGTAATAATGAGAGTAAATTTATGAGATTTATGTAACATTATTTTATAACCCCCAATTTGAGTGTATAACTGTATTCCTCGAATTTGATTTGCTTAGGCACTGAAATCTAGGTGGGGATTTATGTGGAACTACTAAAACTGCAAAGCAGTTTGATTTGAATTGGGAATGGCATCACAAAATTTATGGTTACTAAAAATAGAAGAGAGAAAGCGGGCGGGCATTATCACAAGGGGGGTGTCAACCCAATGAGGTAGACGATGATGTTTTCCTTACCAATAAATTTTGGCATAACTTTAGAAAGAAGAAGATAAAGATGAGAGCTTTTATTTCAGTTTTCATGACATAAGAAGATTTGGAGATAGATAGAGAGATGAATACGTATCATTGTACGTACCCCTAAATATGCACTTAAAAAAAAAATGATGGAGATGGATTGGGACTTTGGAAGCTGGAATAAGATTGACTTTTTTTTTTTTTTTTGTTTGGCCAACTCAAAATTTTGCATTTTTAGATAATTAATACCCAAAAGGATTCTTGCATCTGATGCGATTCAGTGGAATTTGGACATTTATACGCACACGGTTCTTATTGTTTCCGGTTGAATTTCAAGACGTGGAGCTCTAAATGCTTCAAATAAACAACATATGCCTTCATCTGTACGTTGTTCGATTAAATTGATTCAATTCAGGTTAGAAGTTTAAAGATCCATATACGACCTTTGTAAGTGATATTCCTTGCGTTTTATAGACTAATTCATGTTATCCATTCGTGAACTACATTAGTTTTAATAAAAATTTACAAATTGTAATGTGAATTATTTTTCGAATATCGATAATAAAAAGTAATCAGTCATTTCTGGAAGTTTACAAAAACAGTGGCTGATTACATAATTCATTTATTACTCAACTAAACTTTGCATTCCTCTGCTATTGATAAAAATCGATTAAAAGGAAAAATAGAAAGAACGTGACCACACTATACAGGTTTCTCTTGGCTCCGCCGTTGGTACGATTGCCGTTTCTTGAGGGCACAATGTTGAATTTTGGAGGTTTTCCTGATGATGGGAGATAAATGAATTTATATGAAATGGTTATCTAATTCTCAATTTCAATATAAGTATATATATATATATATATATATATATTTTGGGGAGGAAAACTTCAGAAACCAGATCATATATAAATTTCTCATACATGGATCGGATACTATTTTGTTCAGATGGGCATCGCATCATCATGACTGTTTGTAGTTGCCTTTCCTATTGCAAGAAAGCTCAGATCTGCTGCAAAATTGGTTGCATCGCTTCCTTAACAATCCAAGTCTAATGGGAACAACCAATTGTTACACACCTTTACTCACTTTGTGACTAACACTTGAGATTTTTTTTATTTATTTTTTTAAATCAATTTTAGTTAGCCTCATCTATCTAAAGAACACTTGGGGGTCCTTGTTCTCCTCTAATTAGTGTGACACTTCTCCATTTTGTAATAGAAAGAAAAAACCATACAAGTGTAGTAAAAGAATTTTTGTGAAAAATTAATATTGGGGAAAGGGCGATATGAAGAAACTTTGGTTATTAAAAAAGAAAAAAAAAAAAAAAAAAACCAAACCAAACTTATGGTTATCTGTGGTGGAATTAGAGAGTTACTCATTAATCAGGTAAATTAGCGGGTAAAACCAAAATCTAATCAAGGTCGTCTTGCTCTTCTTACAGACCACAGTCAAACACCTTCCGCCGCGAACTTTTGTAAAGCAGCCATGGCGGCAGAAGCCATCATCAGAGCTCTCCGTGACGGAGCTTTAGAAGGCGAACACGCCCCTGCTCTCACTATCGAGGACTCCATCCACTCGCCTCTCAGTCCCTCTGTTTTCAATCACATCATTGCTCACCTTTTCTCCAATATTTTCACCTCAAAATCACAGCCACAGTAAGTTCAATCAACCTCAGTTACCAAACTTTTTTCTTTCTAATTATCATGGTTTTCAGTTTAACTATCTGGGTCATTATTCTTTTTCATATGTGTAGAGGTATTGTGCTTGTTGCTTTTTCTCGGAGTCCGCAGTTCTATGCTGAGCTGTTGCAGAGTAAAGCAAACGACGTTACTTCGTTGAACCAATGGTATCACGTTAATGGCTTATTCCTCCTGGGTTCTTTCTTTAATGATTTTTTTGGATGAAAGTTTGATTCTTGGTTTGTTGAAATGTATAAAACAGGGTGAGGATTTTGGACTGTCATACGGATCCTATGGGTTGGAAGACCAGGCTTGTCAAAAACGGAATCATAGCTAATCCTTCCGTAGAAATTGCAGCCCCTGTTAGCTTGTGTGAGAATGTGAAGGACTTGGATAAAGTATTTTCTTCCATTGTTGAACTGGGAAGAGGTATATTATTATGATGATTTTTCCCCATCTTTGGAACTGTTGCATTATTTTAATATTGTATAAAATTTACTGCTGAAATTTGCTGATTTATCTTGGCTTGTTTGGCAGAATTTGTTAAAGACAAGAAAGGAAGGTTTGCAGTTGCTATAGACTCGGTAATTTTCCTCTCTTCTTATTTGTTTTCTTCCAAGATCGTATTGACTCATACTTATTGGTAGCAATTGGTCTTTGATTCTGAGTAGTCCTGATGAAAAAAGGAGCTTGAATGGTAGATTCCAACTGCCCTGTATGTTGGTTTTGACATTGCTTATTGACTGGTTCTGACTCTTAATTTGGTTGGTATTTCTGTTTCTCTGACTCTGAGAGGAAGCTTCCTAAAGAATCAGCCAAGCATAGGAATGCATCATTAGACTTCTCGTTCTGGTTTTATATGCATACTATCTACTGACAAAGTATTAAGTGTCTCCTCTGATACAAGAAGCTTCCCATTAGTGTTGTGTTTTATGTTCTTTCATATAAAAATAAGTATACTTCTCTTTGCATTGTCCTTTATGGCTATCATCCAATTTGTCTCTGCGGCTACTGAAGTGCCGGGATTCCTTGCAAAGGAATTTCATGGATGATTCCCAGAAGTTTCTCAATTTGTAGAGTTTAGAAGCATTGATCTTAGCAAGTGCACGATTCCCTCAAATTTTTATGAGACTAATACATTCCGTTGTATATACCTTGCTTATCCACCACATGAGACACTGCATCAGCTGAGCTAGTTCTGTTGCTTGTGATGTGACACATTAACAGTATTGTTGATTTGACTAAGCGTCCAAAATAGATTTGAATTGTTTGACCAGATTTAGACACATTACTGAAATTCTTATAACCTATTCTTTTTCCTTGACAATGATGATCCACCCCTTTTCAATTACAGAGGGATGGGACCTCCTTAATATTTGATTTAAGAGCATACTGGAAGGCGATTTATAGTAACTATAAGGTGGTGACCAAGTATATATTTTATTTAAGAAAAAGAAGGATGAAAGACTAAATGATGAACCCATGTATTCTCTTATCTTAAGTGCCTTGAACTGTCTTGGCTATATGTCTTCTGTATGATCTGGTGAATTCAAATGACCTTCAACAGTAGCTTCCAACACTCTGAAATTGTTATATCACGGAGAAGATGACATGGAGCGTATCATTGTGTACTTCAGTTGTAATTAATATGATAAAGAGCATTACATTCAAAACAACTGTTTCAAGTTTAATCATAGAAATCATAGAAGTCAACTGTTGGTGCTGAACTCCATACATGTCAAATGCATTGTAGAATGGGTGATTTTGGTTGAGTTTTCCCTATTCTTATTGTTAGGTTTCTTGAATAAAAAATTCGTTACTGGCTTTTGAATGCTAGGAAAGTTCAGTTGTTATATCCAGTTTTGTGATAATTGTTTATTTGTTTCCAGGTTAGTGAGATCTTAAGACATGCTTCCACTTCCTCAACTGCTTCTCTCTTAAGCAACCTTCGTTCTCATGGTATGAACTTGTCGGTTCCCTCTTATGTTCATGCCAGTAAATGGAAATTTGTCGGTTTATAACATCTGCAAATTTTGTGGCAGACCAGATTTCTTGTGCAGTATGGTCTGTACATTCGGACCTTCATGAAAAGAAGACTTTGTCAGCTCTTGAGTACATGTCTTCCATGGTTGGCATTGTAGAGCCAATAAGCCAAACAACTACTAGCCAGGGAAGTAATTATGATAACCTTCCACTGATGGAACAAAATTTTGTGAGGGGAAAGTTCTCTGCACGTTTCAAACGAAGAAACGGGCGTATCAGATTGATGGTATATTCTTATTTTCCTCATCATCGTCTTGTGGAAATGGAAATTGTGTTTTTCACAGAGATTAATATACAAACTGATGCTGTCACATGGTTTTCGTTAGCTTGAAGAGCTTCACGTTGAGCCAACTGGCATCAAATTTGTGCCTTCTTCTCAAGATGACCTAATATCTCAAAGCCTTGTACCTAAGGTAAAGTTGAAACTTCCCAACATTCAGAAATAGTTACATGTGAGTGTCATCTATTTAGAAGTGACCGTAAAACACCTTGGGGATATAAGTTTGATTCTAGATACTTCAGCAATTGTCGGAGCTGAAAAAAAAAATCAACGTGGTTATTTTATGTTCACTGTTTTGGATTTTGCTTAGGTACAATTCAACTTACAGCTGTCAGAAAAGGAGCGAAATGACCGTGCAAAAGTTGTTCTTCCATTTGAGCACCAGGGTGAGTATCTATTCTGTTTTTATTTGATACCCTGGATATACTGAAGTTGATGCTCCCTTGAACTTCTATCATGTCGTATTGGGTTCTTTTTTTGCAATGTGGCGATTAATGCCAGTTGGTTCATGTATCCTTCAGGAAATGGCACGCCCATTCAGATATATGATGGCCGGAAATCTCTCAATGAGAGCAATCGCGAGAACAAAGATTATACAGTCCATAAGCAAACTGAGGACGCTGGTCGGGGTGAGATAACATATTTTAGAGACTCAGATGATGAGATGCCAGATTCTGACGAGGATCCTGATGATGATTTGGACATCTGAGTGTATTTGGTCCTTTTGATTGCTGAGCTCCCCAGTTGGGTGTAACAAACTTCTTTTTTTCCTTTTTTGGTAGGAGGTGTAACAAACAGCTTTGATGTGTGTGATTAGTGTGAATTACTCCTTCCATTCCGTTTGACTTTCGCATATAGTATTCACCATTTACCAACATTTTATCAACATCATTAGCCTTCTTCCAGTCTCGATTCAAATACGGCTACCGAACTACCCAATAACACAATAGCAAACCATAACTTGTCTGCAATGCCTTTGCCATGGAATATATGTACCCAGCTGTGTTGTTCTGTATAAACCATTTGGGATTCCAGAGATTCAGAAAAGAAACTTTTATTAAACTGTTTTAGTACAACACTCGAGCATTATTGTGTTCGCGGTTTCCATGCATCGGCGACCCTATGGAATTTATGTATGTTGCAAGGTTGAAACATAATCTACGTCTGCAATGATTTCATACTACTTTGGACAATAATACTGACTGCTATTCAAGATTGATCATGGGGATGAAGTTCTATACAGTTCAAATCAAATTCTTGGAAGGTCAAAACAGCAGCAATTGTATCCCTAATTCATGTTTCAACCAGTGCAAAGATCATATGTCAATATAGTAAACTACTCTTACCGAGTTACTTCAGATAATTTTCCAGAACATCAACCTAAGACAAAGTAGCATAAGTTTTTAACAAGACTGCAATTAGCATACTGCACCGTAGGCAAAACACCCATCTTCTGGCCACGTACTTTCCAGCACTGCTCATTGTTGTCTAAACCATGTTGATTTTGGGGTAGCGGATCTTGCAAGCCGTTGATGTCAATGCAAGAGATAATCTCCTCGAAACAGAATCATTATCAGCACTAAAGTTGAAGTTGCAATTGAAAATCACTTCCTGCAGCACTTTTCCATTTCGTAGAAGATATTCAATGAGTTTGATTTCGTCTTCTAGACCTTTGAACTCTGCAATCACTATCTTCTTCATGCTCGAGGATAAACAACGAGGCACACCTTCGAGTGATGAGAAGAACCGCTCATAGCCCCCATCAAACATGTCGGATCTCTGATTCAGAAACAAAAAGGCAGAAAAGAGGAAATTTAAACTTTAACTAAAACTAATCAGGATTGATTCAAAAACACTTTTGACTATTGAAGGCAAGACATCAATGCATTGCATCAGAATGAACTGACCTCAATAATCAATGTTTCAAGATTTGGAGCAGCTTCAAGTAATCTTCCAAATGTGTTCCAAGCACCCATCTTCTTTACTTGGAGCCGCAGACTTTGTAGGTTACCAAATTTAGGCAGTGGAAGAGACAAACGATGAAGAACCTATAAGGAAATGAAAATGATAATTACAAAACAGCATGATGAGGACAAACAGAACAGAACTCGGAATTATCACCCTGAATTCAGAGATTTACAATTCAAATGGTAAAAAGTGGGAATAGAACAGTTTACAAAAAAAAAAAAAAAAACTAGCAAAAGAACAATTTTAAAGACTTGTAGGAAGCTCACCTCCATAGTTAAGTTTCCAAAATATAAACTCTGAACTTCAGAGCATCCATTAATAAGCACAGCTATGTTGTGGAGGTCGTCATACTCGGGCTCTCTCAGTTCTCCATTAACAAGTTTCCACAAAACATGTAAACTTAGCTCATGAATACAATCAAAATTGCCAATGTAGTCGAATTCTTCGAGAGGTATGCCAGAGTAGTACAGATATTCAAGCTTTGGCGTGTCAATGTGCCAGGCGAATTGTTCATCAGTCAAACTCTTTTCCAGAACCAAATGTTTTAGCGTAGGAATAATGAAGCCAATGGTGTCTATCCAACAATTACAACCAAACATTCCCAACTTTTCAAGTACTGGGCATCCATCAAAGAGTTTATCCATAACATCAAGAACTTTAACTTGATAGAGAACCAATGTCTTCAAATTAGGATACTTAACATCAGGAAGATCCGAAGCAGGGAGATCAAAGCCTTTACCTACATGCAACGTCTCTAAGGTAATGCAACCATCAAGACTCGAGAGTAACTTAACAGAATTCTTGATTGAGACATAAAGACGAACATCTTGCACGCGGAGCCTAGCAGCAGCCCGGAGCCAAGAAACGATGCAATCATCGTCGTACTTTTCACGGCATATGAGATTGAATTCTCGAATCCTAGCATTGCATTGCTCCAACCGATTCAAAACCCCACTAACAAAATCTCTGAAACTGTTTGCAAGCTCATCGGGCTTGGATTCAGACGCCACATTTTCTTGGTTGTGTTCTTGATCGGGACGAGGTAGGAGCAAGGAATCATCGAAGTCTAATTTAAGATCTGGGACAAAGGGAAACAGATTATTCCACCTGGATGACAAAATTGAGGTGCCCACTGCGTGTTTTGTAGGAAGGTATGACAAAATGTGAAAGAGAAGATCGTCAGGCAAATTACTGATACGATCATCTCCGGATCCTTGCTTGGTTACAGAAACAGTGGGTTTTTCCAATCGTTCACGCTCTCCTGTTGATTCACCCATCAGGGATTGGTAACACACACTCACACACTGTAATTGAGGAGAAAATTTTCCAAATGGAGAGCCAGAGGATTTGTTTTGTGATGAAGGGTTGTAGTCTTCGTAGTCTATCCCTTTGCTGGACAGACTGTAATTCGGTTACCCTCAGTTTCAGCGGGATAAAGTGAACAAATAAAACCCGCCAAGAATACTCACCATAAACACAATTTTGATTACTTTTCGGAGTCTGAAGATTTGGAGTCCCGCCAGTGTGCCGGTGGCAAACGGAATATATATATTTTGTGCCTTCCGGGCTCCGGCAACCAAAAAAATTACAGTAATTTCCTTTTCTTTTTTTAAAAAAAATTTATTAAAGGGGCGAGCAATGTACGACGAAAGTTTAGACAAAAACAAATGAAATGATTATTTTCACCTTTCCCCTTCCCTCCCGATTTGGTCCTTTTGAGTGCCGGCTAAATTTCAACAATGCTGCGTTTATTACATTTCTTCAGTATGATCACACTGCCTCACTTATGGTCGACGCGGCCTGGATTTTCTTGCCGTTCATATTTCTCATTGATCTTTCAGTATGGTGTTTGTATCAATTTGACTCGTCTCATTCATGCAGCTAATGTCAGTTGTAGTTGTAGCTATTTCCCCTAGGTGAAAAATTTACATGATATTGTTAGTATTGCAGTTTTAGAATGTGCCAAGATGTAGTGAGGAACTTCGGATCTGTTTCAACATCTCTAGCATCTGTTTCAACACCCTAGGGTTCGGAAATAGCAAATTACAGAGTTGCGTTTCTAAAGAATACAGAGAGCATGATCAATAGTAGTATATGCTTGTCTATCTCAGTGAAATAGGGTCAGTATCCAGTCTAAGATCAACTATGAACACCAAGAGCCGCAATGATGTCTGTACACTTGGTTAAGAATTCCAAGGACTAAAATATGTAAACCTGTCCATATGGTGCAGGATCAAAAGAATCAGGAAATAACCACCCTCCCCACTTCCTAAATATCAAAACAATTTCCCAACCTATTTTGTTCAAGCTATCTAGCACGTTGGGGGGAAAAAAATCAGGGGAGAAAAATGTAAGAGATTAGTAGCAGAATCCACAATGATTTTCAGGCGTCCCACAGCTCATACTCCCCCATAAGCCATAGAACCACATCAGGAAATCTGAAAAAAAAAAAAACAAAAAAACCCGTCATCATTACCTTGTAAGAACAATTGACACAGCTGCAAATGCAAGTTGAATGGAAAGTGTAAAACAAAGGGAAATATAAAACCTCAAGATAAAATGACAAGTCCAAGGTACATGGCTCCACAGAGGAAAATGAAAGATATCATTCCCCTACAAGAAAAATTGACAGAGACAGCAACTAATTATTGGGGCAAGCTTGGAAAGAATCAAAATCACGATGAACAACTACATATACACCTAAAAACAGTCAGAAATACTTGCCATATAACGCCCCATCCTACGCCATTGCAGGGGCAAGGACAAATTTCTGCAAACTTTTCAGCATCACTCGAATTAACCCTCCGAGATATCAAATCATCATATATATCTGTATCATATGACAGCAATGTAAGCATTCAAATTTGCTTCAACCAATAAAGGAGTTACAGTGAATCATACCATATACTGAAAACAAACTGTTCATGACACCTGCAATTCAGAGAGTTGATGTAAGTGACAGTTGAAAATTAACTATCAAAGTGCAGAAATAAGAGCATGTTTGCAAAAGTTAAACATCAGGGTGAAGGCATACCAATGAAGAGGATGACATAGCGAAGGATACGAACTTTAGTAAACTCTTGCAGAACCCATATCACAGCAATGAAAATGATAAATCCTGTCGGGTTCAACTAATAAGAGACAGTTTAAGAAAGTTTGAAAGGTATGAAAAATGCAACTTGTCAGGACAAAAAACTCTCACCAATGCAAAGTCCACGGAGCGTCCACTGCTCAAAGAAAGAAGAAGGAAAAAATTTCATGATAAACCAATTTTCGTGATAATGAAGTAGTAAATAAAAAAGACAGTGATTATCCATCTCTTACATTTTTGGCGATGAAAAGTACAACTACCAAAGCCGCAATAAAACATCCAGCAGCAATTTTAGCAGTTAGCAGATTTGTAGAAGCAAGTATAAGAAGCATTCCCCAAAACGATGAACCAAGATCTAAAAACAGAAAACTTATCAATGAACCAATACATAGAAAGACTCAAATAACAATGCAAGCACAATGATCAACCACTTGTCGGAACTAACCAATCCAATAAATGTAACACAGCGCACAAATTAACAATATTGTGGTTCTTGCTATACCACTACAAGGCAGGATTCATACACATTAAATGAATGTTTAAATAAGAAAAGAATAATACATCCTGCTGGCAAGATCAACCAATAAATTCCACCACGTGTAAGCGTCACCCCGCCCTCGTTTGCATGAACTTGCATACCTTCCACCTACACATAAATGCAGATATACAGGTATGCAAGCAAATCATATTCAGTGTAAGTGAAGAACCACATTGGGCAAGATGCCAATTACTGGATAAGAAGATAGTGATGGAATGAAAAGCCCTTTACCTGGCCACATGTGAGCTTGCATGCGATTGCATGGCTAGCTTCGTGAAGAAACACAGTAATCAGCTTGAAAGGTGTCAGCAAAAAAGTTCTCCATAACTGTTCACGAAAAGAAAAGAATTCAGAAACTGAGAACCTGCTACTTTTTATTAGAAGGGGAGAATGAGGCATGGTAAGGAAGTGTAAGCGACATCCCATGTGACCTTAGGCCACAGAAGGGCTATATGTATTAGGCCTCGATGGCTCGACCATCCCCTAGAAGTCTGGAAGGAGCTTCCATTCGCAGGACTGTCCTTTTTGAAAGTTTCATTTGTAACCATGCACTCAAAATCAATAAAGAAAGAAGAAGTAATATCTTTTGTAGGATGAATAAGATAGGTGTATAGGAAGAAAGAAAACGTAATTGATGTCATATTAGAAGCTTTAACAATAGGCATTTCCTAAGAGATATCAAAAAAGCAAAGCTTAGCATTCTAATATGCTGAACTGTAGGCTTCTCAACCAGGGTGACTTTCCTAGAAAACTTGTTAATGGCACTATATTGTACTCATGTAACCTAAACCATCTAATCAAATTCTAATGCAGTTCCAATACATTTGCCCATTTAGGTACTAATTACTTCAGGCGGTACACTTTGATTGCGGCAAAAAATAACCCATCAAAGCAGCAGCAACCGTCAATAACTGTAAAACGTCTAGCCAACTTCATATCCCTTACAAGGCTAAACTCATGCGGACCCTTTATGCCGGATCTTAACAAAAGCTACAAGATTCCGACTTTAACCCACAGAAAGAAACAGTGGCAAGGCAGAGCTTTTAATTTCGGAGCTTACAAAGTCTTGAATTAATACAAACAATCAATCTTTTCCAGTAACTAGCAACTTAAAAAAGAAAAACAAACAAAGCCACGCAACCAGAAATAGAAGGAAAATGAGAAACGGAGAACTTACAGCAAGAATGACGACAGTGAAGACACCAATTGTGACAAGGAACACCACCTGGTCATGATTACAACAATTCTTGAGCTCCCAATTCGGATTCATCTCTGTAGTCCACGACAAAGTTCAATTCTTCAACACCCACTGGCCACTTTTTTTTCTTTTTTTTTTTTTTCTTTTCTTCTCTCTGGGTGTCTTTACAGTTTCAAACTCAAATGGGGCGAAATCGACGATTTGGCGATTTCGTGTAAAACGTAGCAAAAGGAAGATTAAAAGAAAGTGGGTAATCTTTTTTGAATTGGTAATGTATAATTGATTAATTTCTAGTATATCTGAGTTGGAGAGAAAGAGAGAAGAAAGGCGAAGTCGACTGGACGGACTTTTTTGGGCTGAACTGGCACAACCTTAACAGCCAATGGCGTTTGAGTTAGGTGGCAGTTATTGCCCAACCCCGGCTTTGAAACTCATAATCCTTCCTTCCTTCTTCTTCTTTGCTGCGCGTTGACCAGTGTTTTTACTTTTCTTTTCTTTTTCTTTCTTTTTTAATATTTACTTCTTGTGCCTGTTTTCTTTTCTTTTTTTTTTTCTTTTTTAAACTAGCGGCAAAAGTCTAAAAAAATTGCAAACTATATAGTATAACAAATTCTGAGGACTAACAAGTGATTTGTAACTCTGAGGACTATGAATGGCGTAAGGAATTAAATAATTGACCGAAGAAGTTTGATTAACAAGTTTTTTTAAAAAATAGTACCTATATATATATTAAGGTTGAGTACCTAAACTATTACAACACTGTTTAGCATAAGCTAGTTGATGCAAATCGTTAACATCGTTCCTACTAACCTTAACTAGATTACACGGCTGAAAAGTTGAAATTAAGGACCTTAATTGAGAAACAACACTTTGTGCTTTAGTGGGAAGACGTTGGATGGGCTGTTTGGTCGTCGAAAGCTTACAATCTGTTTGCACTAGAACATTTTGTAGACCTAAGGTCGATGCCTCTTGGAGAGCAGCAAGGCACATCATGGCTTCTGCTTGGAAAGCTGATAACGATGAAAGGGAGACAACTTTAGTTTGTAACAATGTACCAGAAGTCGTCTCGATTTTCCATATCTCATGGTTGGGTGAAAAGAGCTATCAAATGTAATTATGGCTTGATGATGTTGTGGCATGGAAGGTGGTGGGCATAGAGATTGCATTGATTTCAGCCGCTGGAGACTCTCCTTATGCTCTTTAAGCTCCTATTGTATTAGTCCCCATGTTCAAACCGGATCCGTACTCTGATTGCGCCTGATCTTGTCATTTCTTTCTATCCAAATTTTATAGAAAATAATGAAAAAGAGATCCAAGTCATCCTCTGAGGGAGAAGTTCTGATCCATTGAACATACCATTCCAGCAAGGACGAATGATTTCCATCTAATATCGACTAGAAGGTACGATAAGCAAAACTCCAGATTACTTGGGAGATAGGACAGTGAAAAAATAAATGGAGATTGTCTTCCACTTAGATGAAGCATCTAGGGCATAGATCATCAACCTGTAAACCTCTTTTTTGTAAACCTGCCTTAGAAGGTAGTGCATTCAACACTACTTTCCAAAAAAGAAACTTATGTTTCGACTGGACTCGAGAATTCCATAACTTTTTCCAAGCTGTGATCTCTTCTTGTCTCAGTGGGTGTGGTTGAGCTACATTCGGTGTAGTCGAGTTTATAGCCACATGATAACCTGATTGAACCGTGTAGTTTTCATGGGAAGTGTGTTTCCACATAAGTCTATCCTCCTGGTTGGAGTTAGTCGGATCAATATGAATTCCTATCATATATGGAATAATATGATCCGAAAATATAGTTCTCAGGAATGTGACCTTCCACTATCCATCAGATCTCAGGAGGTCCCTCACTGTAAGATTGAAGTGCCTTGCCAGAAATGAATTGCTATGAATTGGATTGATCTGATTTGGAATCCAATCCTCAGCAATGGGAATGTTTTTGCCCGAAACAACTTGTCATTTAGTATTCTGTTTCAGTAATTTGGTGCCCCACAGAACATTACAATAAACTTATAAAGTTATAGACTTCACTGTCCGTTTTCTAGTCATAAACTCCATAATTGTTCAAATGACGCCTCCATCAGTAGTTGGGCATATTTTTATATATCCATAATTTGTGTAAATTAGTACAGTAAAACGGTAAATTATATGGTACACCCGGGGCACCGTATACCCCCTGCGCATGTAATTTACTCTCTTAGAATAGTGCGAGTTCGCTAGATAATTCATCCTTCTTTTTCTTTTTCTTTTAAACGCGTGTGGATAACCAGTGCTGGCACTATGGATAACCAGTTACACACAGCTAGATAACCATTATTAACATGTTAGATAACCAGTATGGACATAGTGGATAACCAGTGTGCACATTATGGATAACCAGTTACACACAGTTGGATACCAAATTTTATTTTTTTCCTTTTATATTTTTATTGGATATCCTTGTCCGTATTTTTACAATGGTTATCCAGCTGCCCCTTATTCATTTTTTGTTCTCCATCATTTGGCAAACTTCCCCTTATTCAATTAAATACTATTTATGAAATTTGTCATGTTCGGCATGAGGGCGGCACAACAGCGAAAGGCAGCGCAGCCGTGGGCACCGGTGCAGCCGGGTCGTTTAGTTTATCACGGGGGGATTTATACAAGTAATTTGTGTCCCCTCTTAACGCAATAACACACTCTTCTTACACACACACTCTCCTTACACAGACACAAAAAAAGGATTACCTTAGCTACATTGGCGTGTTCGGCGGGACGGCGCAGCTGGGGCAGGTTGGTGACGTGCGATTCCGGTAGCCGCGGGAGTTATTTAGTTTATCATGGGGGGCTCGTACTGGTTATCCACAAGTTGTAAACTGGTTATTCAGAAGATGTAAACTGATTATCCAATGCTCTGTATTAATTATCCAGGACTTTTGTACTGGTTATCCAGCCAATGTCCAGCAATATCCAACCGTTTGTAATGGTTATCCAGGATCTTTGTACTAGTTATCCAACTTGTTACACCTGATTATCCGAATGTTTTATAGTGATTATCCAGTAAAAAAAAATGCAAGTACAACATTTGATTTAAAGGTGAAAAATGTTAAGCGCGTGTAACGTGTGTGTTTGGTGGGGGTATACGTTACAAAATGTAGCCAACTGCTATCCGTTAAATGATTGATAAAAAATCAAAGTAGTTGACACACAATTCAGAAAAATATTCATCCAGAGTCCTGAGTATCATTACTCACATAACAAAAAAGAAAACTAATTTGGTGTTTTTTTTTTCTAAGAAAAATAATAAAAAAAAAATCATCCTTTTCGATGAAGAACAATTCGGCATTGCTTAGATCTCATCAAGACCAGTGATATAATATCCAGTTGGTGAGTAGAATTTCAGTTGTTATTTTGGCTCCAACAAGATTGCTGAGTTTGTCTTCTCAATAAAGATCAATCTATCTTTATATCCACGGGCACTACTACAATGGCTAAATTGTTTGAGATTAGGGGCATCTATCATCAAGAGTTTTTTTTTATCCCACTCATAGTGATATAGGTCATGGAATTTTTCTAGGGTTATGTGACTGTTAAAATCATCGAGATGGTCTGGATGCAGCAGGAATGGACCTAGTCACTTAAAATGGGGCCATAAAAGAAAGTAATTTACTAAAATGGCATGACAAATGTAATAAATCGTATAATAATATTTATCAAAAATACTTTTTTACTAAATACATTTGTTAAAACATGACTCACCTAGTCCGTGGCTATTGATAATGATCATCATTAATTAAATGGGACCAGTTGTTATTTCCCTTTTTTTCCCCATTCGGTAACTTCCTTTGATTTTCAATTTTATCAATCAAAGTTGCATCTAATGTTTGTTTCAATTTTTAGATGGTTTTTTTAAATTATTATATTATTAACTGTCCCATCCCACATACCTTTTTACATTTCCAATCATCATTAACTTTTTTCAATTCTTCCACCCATATAATTCATTTACTTAACTTAATTGTTTTTGCAGTCTTGCTTTAAATATATACTAGTGATGTCTGGTCGCGCAATGCGCGACCCTGGACCAATATATCTGTAGATCATAGAAATATTTGTATCTGGAAAAAAAATATTTTGTATTTGGCCCGATATATTTTAGAAGTATTTGAAGAATTTAGAGATTTTTTATAAGATTGATCATAGAAATGTTTGTATTTGGCATAAAAAGAAATTTTATTTGGCCCGGAACGTTTTAGAAATGTTTGAAGATTTTAGAAATGTTTTATAAGTGTTACTTCTTAAATATAAATACACTTGATCAAATATATGTCTTGAAGTAAATGCTAAACAAAATATAAAAGCATCCTAATAAGTTTAAATATTAGTAAGATGATTTATTGATGTTCTTCATTGATTGTGCCATATCAATACTTAGTTTTGGAGATTTATAATAACTTTGTAGTAAGCTTCCTCCAAAGGGTATACGCTTAATTGTTAGAACTATTTCTTCCAAAAGTTTATAGGTAGTAAAATATCAAAAATATAATTTTGAAAATGGTTAAGTTGAAATTGGTTGATCACAAATATGAGAATGAAAATAATGTAAATTTGCATAGGTTTCAAGGTATAGCAAAAAAGAACTCACCTCACTATGGCAAATAAAAAAAAAAAGTAAAAGATAGACCATTAAAAATTGAGAAAGTTTTTTTTTTGTAGGTAAAAATGATGTATAAAAACACAAATAAACATAGAAACATCATTCCTTCCCTCTTCACCTCAATTTCATAAAAGGCTTCCCCATAAATTAGTTAGAAGAAGCGACCTGAACTATTTATATGATGAGAAACTCCAAAAAGTCCAAAAATCAAATCTAAAAAAGTATATTATTGAAAGCCCGAACATAAAAAAAAAATAACGCACTCTATTTGCAAATAAAATAAAATAATAATAATAATAATTGGGCAACTAGGAGTATGAAACAAAATTAAAAACAATTAAACAAAGAAAAAATACACTTCATAACTGACCATATACGAAAAAAAACTGAGACTCCATAATTGAAAATAGAAAACCACT